GCTTGTAATCACACAATTCCATTGGCTGGCAAGACCCTGTTGCTAGTTAGCCAACCAGCAACGGGCATGAAACTGTATGCAGATGGAGAAGGGCAATCACCCTTAATGGGCGATCAATGGTGAAGGGCAATCACCCTTAATGGGTGATCAGGATATGCATAGGGGATTAAGGGGGGGGGAATACAAAGAACACAACATACCTGAAAACTAAACATTCTACTCCTTCTCTCCTTCCCTCCCTCCTAAAAGATTAAGTTTTACCTCAACTTACTTCACAATTATTGAATCTTTGCATAAATTTTAAGGGAGCTGCTTGGCTAAAACTTTAATTTGTGAGGGAAATATGCAGTCAGCCTGAAACCTCTGTAACCTCTCATCTAAGAAATCCTGTTTTAGAATATAATAATACTTATTTGTTTAATGTTCATAGTACACTTCCAAAATAACTTACCTTTTCACTTCTCTTCAGCACTGTTCTTCTGAACAGTGATAAGAGAAATGTGACTGAGAGGATCAACCATCTCTTATCTTGTTTGCATTTCCAGAACTTTTATTTTCCACATTTATATCTGTATCAATATTTACACCCAGAGGGAGAAACAACAACAGCTCAGTGCATATCCATGGGGGAATTATTGAATGCCTTAACCCTTTTTGAAATCCTCTAAACATCTCTCCTCATGTTTTAGTATTCATTAATGGGAATACAAATGTAAAAGTTTTCTGTTTACAGATGTAAAAGGAAAATTTGCTTATGTTTAAAATCTGTGTGTGAGAGTATTATTTGAGGATGTGGATGATTTTTCACCAAATATATTATCTTCCATTTTTAAAAATAGGTATTGGGACTGTTCATTTAAAAGGATTTCCACCACACAAATAACTGAATTATCCAAAGCCCGTGGCAAAGTATTTCCACATTCTAAAACTACTGGGAGTTCTCTGTAAATTATTAGCAAAAATATTACTTTATTTTTGATGTATTAATTACTGGATCCTCTCAATTCACCCAGAATTTCATTTTCTTCATTCTCTCTTTTTCATACTATCTTTTGCACACACAAACACATACATACACACATACACACACATCCATACATGGAAACAAATAATCAAAGGCATGTAATGGTATATCTTTTTAGCATTAATTTGTAAGCCAATCTCTCCTTTTAAAGACTTTATTCATTTTCATTTTAAAGATTACTTCATAAGAAGTAATTTTTACACCAGAATTGGTTGTCCTTGGCGTTAGAAGGTTGACATGAAAGCAGCAATCAAGGATGTTTGGGAACGTTTGGATTCTTTATCTCCAGCATTCTTCCATTGTGGAAGCTACAAAAAAGAATAGGACGAATCTGTTATTTCTAGTACCAAAGATATAGATATAGAATATTTAAATTCAGTTCTCAAGAATTAAGAAAAAAGAATTAAGGTGAGAAAATGAATTTTGAGAGAAAGATTATGGAAGAAATATGTTTTAGTGATAATCTCATTGCTAGTGTTTTACATGAAACATATTTTGGAGACAACAATGCAAATGGCAATGGGGCTAAAAATAACCATGACACCGTATAAGAATCTATGTGTTCCAACATAAATTATGGCAGCTGGATAAATAGATAATTCAACGTTTCATTTTGTTATGGTCTGTTACAAACACAAAGAGAAAATATTAGTTTAAACAAAAGGATTTTGAGAATATAGAAAATAAATTAATTCACTTTGGATTTTTCAGGAAGGATATATTTAAAGAGATTGAGGAGTCATGTTATCTTAATCTAAGGGATATCATGATTGGATACAGGTTTATTCATACATTTGTACTTTCCTATCCCATTCAAGCATCATCATCGTAAAATTGCTAAAACGTTGAATATATTTCCGTATTAACTCACCTTAGAAAATTACTGAATTATATGATCATTTTGGATGTCTTCAACCAGTTTTTGACCCTGAAATTGAATATATATAAATATATATTCTGAACAAAATATATATATTTGCTGAACAAAGTAAATTATACAAATCTTCATCCAGTTGAATAAATTAACTATGTTCCTCCTAATAGCCATCCTAAATTAACTATGTTCTTCCCAAGAGCCCTCCTAAAAAAATATTCATGGGGACATGCTTCTTAGATTTGTCAGTTTCTCATTCTACAAGAAGATATAGAAGATGTAAAGATGTGTGACTTTATGTTCTTCCTAACAGCCTTCCTAAAACCTCCATCCTCATATTCATGGGGACATGCTTCTCAGTTTCTCATTCTACAAGAAGATACAGAAGATGTGAAGCTGTGAGTCTTTATATATAAAGTGACTTTATATATAAAGTCACACATCTATATACGTTTGTGAGTGTATATTCATGTGTGTGTGTGTGTGTGTGTCTATTACGCGCTCAATGAGCAGAGCGCAAAAACAACTAGGCTTATAAGCAGTCTCTTATATATATTAAGAGTATAAAAACTTCGAACACCGAGATAAATATAAATATAAAAACAGCTGTTTATTGGGTAAAAACAACAGTTCGTTATACAAACATCTGTCTGCTACCTGAGCTTTCGTCAGTCCCCTGCTGATGTCATCAGAGTAAAAGCTTGGAGTTTGGAGAGTCTGCTTATAAGCATAGTTGTTTTGGCGCTCTGCTCATTGACCGCGTAAAGGCCTCGCACCCCTTTGTATGCCATTTGATCCTACCGCCCTTTCTCCTCCCATTACTCCCTTCCTTATCTGTTCCACTTTGCCGTCTCAGTTGGCCTTGCCCCGTGTGGCTGTGTCCTGTCCATAGGTGTGCATGCCAACCTTGGCACCCCTTTTTCTCTCACGGTGATAGAAAAGGATGAAGCTAGTAGGTGTGGACTTTTGATCTGCAGCCCTTTTGTAGTAATACACATGCACAATCCATTTATTTTGAAGCTGCTGGAAATTTTATGACAGCAGTGACAAAACTTCAGTTTTTCTTTTTGTGCTGCAGATCTGCAGAATTATCTTCTAATAGGGAAATTACATCATACTATCAAACTTTAGATAACTCTGAAGACTGTACCCTAGATTTCTGATTGGCATTCACAGTGAGATGCATATCTGCTTATATTATGACAGTAGAACCTAGCTAATTGCAGCTGTGACTTATAGTTAAATATTAAAATTATACAAATTTAAAATTTAAAACTACTCAAAAATCAACACTAAGATAGATGGCAGGAAGGTCTTCTTACCCCATAAACCAGCATAATATATGCTACACTTTCTCACAATAGTTACAGAGTCCTTAATAATAAATGGATGACTGGTTGACAGAATTCTAGGAGAACATTTATAAAATACCAGCTCAAACATTTTTTGCATATAAAAGAAGGAGGAAATTAGGGCTGGAATCCTTATATCTGTTCCCATTTCTTTTACATATAGCCATGCCAACTGAGAACTGTAAGACCGATAACTTACTGCACTAAATTGGTGCTTATTTGATAAAGTGAAATTTAAATGTTGAGGCAGCAATAAGGAAGAACACTTTCTTAAACTCTCCCCATCCATTTTTCTGTTTCAGATATACCTTTGTGTCAAAGCATTCCTTTTTGTTTTCAGCTGCACAGCAATCTGCCTGGAGGTTACGGAAAGCTTCAATTGCAGAGGCAAGCATTTCATCTGAGATATTAGGTTTGGATTTTATCAAGTCGCTAAGCANCTAGTTCCCCAAAATGAGAAATATATAAGTTCATGCATATAGAAAATTATTTTTTTTAATATGTACTTTCTTAGTGCAAACTCCCAGGGGTAAAACTAGAAAGAAGAGAGGAAAAAGGCTGAAAACAAATGCTTCAAGATAAATCACCAAAGACATTTTGAGAAGGCAGTTGTCCTAAGAAAGGAGACTGATATGGGAGGTATCTAAATAAAATGATGCCTAGAATACAATAGAATTCACTCAGAGGTATGACATATCATGGCTTGCTTGATGTAAAACTTGTAACAGGACATCAGATTAAAAGGACTTTGTTTTCTTACCATTGTTTACTTTCCTGCACAGTTTCTTCATTGGGTGAGCACAAATTTTCAGGAGCATCCAGTACTTTAGGTCTGAATGGAGGAGGGACATACGATGGATCTGGTCCTAAGTTACTGATACACTCCCAACGACTGATAAAGGAGGAATCACAGCAATGGCAAAGTTGTTTGTTTATGAAATGTTCTTTGTGATATCTACATACAGATCCTATCACTTTATCCGTCTGAGAGGAGAGAGAAAGGAAAAAATATCCCATGAAGTTCTTCAGTTACCTGATACGATTATTGTAAGATGAATGCTAAGCACATAACGTTTCAAGATTTATTCTTTATTTGATGCTAAAAGGGTTGCATGAAAGGTAGGTCAAATGGAAGACTTGCTAAATTAATAGCTTTTTTCTCTGAATGTTCAAAATCACACTCTCCTTCCTTCTTAGAGCAAAAACTTCATTGAGATGTGCCATAGATAACTGCTGATTCTGTCTGTATATCTACCTGTCTTTCTCTCCATTGGTCTCCATCCATCCCAAGAAAGTAACAGGAAACAAAGTTGCATCTACTGAGTTGACTCAGTAAATTGCTTTACGGAAATGTTTTATCTGATGGCTTATTTTTTGGTAGCTGGAGATTTTAAGGTTTCTAATTTATAAATTTATAACTTTTATTCATAAATGAAATATAAAAAAGACAAAATCATAATTTTGCCTTTGAAAGCTAATATTTTTCCACTGAGAATACACAGTTTCTAATAAGGATATAAAAATATTTTGAAAATGGGTTTTTGAGTTAAAACAAAATGGATGGTATCCTCTTAGTCAGGAACACTGTATTAACTAATTTGAAAGATATATGTTTCAAAAAGATACATCAGAAAAGTATGTAATGGAGTATTATTTTAGAAAAGCATATTTTACTATGCATTGCAAATGAAAATACCGGTATTTAAATTATTTAAATTTAAATTATTTACTGAAATATAAGATTCCCCAGAATTTACAGAGTTATGAGCATCAAGGGAACATATACAGCTCTATAAATGAGGAAAAATTAGGAACAACAGAGGTGTAAATATGTTCTGATTATCTAAGGATTAGATTACTGTCATAGACATCTAAGAACTAATAATCCCTTAGTTGTTTAGATTTTTTTTCTGCTCTCAGTTCAGTTTTAGAGCCTTTAATAGAACTTTTGTTGCTTGCTGAGATGTTTGTGGAAGACTCTGCTTTGTGCCTGAGTTCACTTGCAGATAGAATGCTGAGAATATTGGCCCAGGGGAAGAACATAGCTTTGGAAGCCCACACAGCCCTTCCTTCCACTGAGAACATCTAAAGACTTTTTGTTGTGATGTGTTGCTAAAGGAGGAAATGGAATAGAAAGCAAAAGACCAGAATATATGGCGGAAACAATACTCACATTTTCTAAAGCACATGAGACTTGGTGATTACTATCTAAATTACAGCATTTCTCAGCAACCTTTGCCACTCTTTTGGTGATCTCGATTAGATTTGAAGTTGGAGCCTGTGGTATAATTCTGGTATACTTTATCAAATATCTGCAAGAAAAGGCCAACAGACACTATGTATAAGAGTGTGCTGTTGATTAAGGCAGGTTTGTAAAAGCACTAAAGGATGCTAGGGAAAAAAGAATTGCTTTCCTAAAGCTGAAGATTAATTTCCAGGGTTTTAGTAAAATTCAAACGATCTTTCTCTTTCTACAAAAATCTAAAAATCTTGACTATGCAAACACATCTCAGCTCTTGCCTTCTATTTGGGACATCAGAGAAGCACCTGAGTAAATAGTAACTTTTATGTTGATTTAAATGGTTTAAACTTGTGGACAAAGCATTTTGGCATTTTACTCCTTTGGTGCACCTTAAAATCCTTGTATACCTAGGAAACTACTATTTCAGCATTTTAATACTATTAAAATATATGTGTAGTTACAATTGAATCCTCTCCTTTATTCATAGGCTGCAAAACTTTTATAAATTACTTTCCTGAATATTGTTCTAAAAAAAGATTGAAAATCTGTACAGGTGCAGGAGAACTTCAAGACATTTAGTGGAATAATATTTTCTTTCATTCCCTTGAAAATAGACAATTCTGCATCCACATGGTTCGGCTTTTTGAACATTTGTGAATTAATCATTCAAAGAAAAACTTACACATTTTGGAAGAAGTACCCTCCTATTTCTTTATAATTATCACAATTAGTCTTCACAACATCTGTAATCTTAGTAATATATAATTTAAGTTGTTCTTCCTGAAAGAAAATATTGTTTTTAAAAAATATCTGCAATAACAATGAACAGACTTAGGAAGAAGCAACATAAATAATGCTGGGAAAAAGCCAGAGAAATATAAATAATTTTTACTCTGGAGGAGACAGCTCTTACTCTGGAATTGGCAACTTTAGATTTAACCCATGTTAGAGACAAATGTGAATGGAAAAGAATGGCAAAGATCATGATTTGTTAAAAACAAGTTTGCTATAATGATTAAGTATGCAAATATTGTGACTATAAAGGAAGGAACAAACAAACAAACAAACAAACAGTATCTTCTAATCTGGCTGGTGTCATATATCCCTTTCAGATCTAGAATTTTTATTTCTACAGTATTTTCTTTCCACATTTGTTTTCCTGCCACCTCTATTCAAAATTCAAAAATCTTTAGAAACCTTCCTTGGTCATAACTTTTGAGTAAGTCTGTACTCAATGATTCACTTCGTACAAGAAGGGGTCCCAAAACCATTTATATTAACTAAATAGTACCAACAACTGTACTCCCTTTGTATAGAGTGCTGCCATAGAAAATACCATGCCACACCTTCCTATTATCTGAACCTATTTTGTAGATTAGATGTATTACAGCATCTTCTAAATTAAAATAATAATAATAATAATAATAATAATAATAATAATAATAATAATAATAATAATAATAATAATAATAATAATAATAATAATAATAAAAGTTGGAAGGGACTTTGGAGGTCATCTAGTCCAACCCCCTGCTCAGGCAGGAAACCCTATACCATTTCAGACAAATGGCTATCCAGTCTCTTCTTAAAAACTTCCAGTGTTGGAGCATTCACCACTTCTGGAGGCAGGTTGTTCCACTGGTTAATTGTTCTAACTGTCAGGAAGTTTCTCCTTAGTTCTAGGTTGCTTCTCTCCTTGATTAGTTTCCATCCGTTGCTTCTTGTCCTACCTTCAGGTGCTTTGGAAAATAGCTTGACTCCCTCTTCTTTGTGGCAGCCTCTGAGATATTGGAATACTGCTATCATGTCCCCCCATCATCCTTCTCTTTGTTAAACTAGACATACCCAATTCCAGCAGCCGTTCCTTATATGCTTTGGCCTCCTGTCCCCTGATCATCTTTGTTGCTTTTCTCTGTACTCTTTCTAGAGCCTCAACATCTTTTTTACATCGTGGTGACCAAAACTGGATGCAGTATTCTAAGTGTGGCCTTACTAAGGCATCTGATTATTATATTTTGCAACACTTATGATTTCTAAAGATTCTTCAAGGGCCGTTTCACTCAGTATACATTGTAATAATCTAAAAGCTGACTTTTGGAGTAATTAATCTTCTATCTTTCAAAGCAAAATAAAATGCAACAAAACAAGCAAGCAAGCAAGCAAGCAAATAAACAATAACAACAAAACCATCCACACACTGCCTAAGGCTGAAACTCTCCATTCTAGGCATGACATTTAATAAAAATCTTGTCTGAACCCATAATTTTGTCCTCTATTTTCTGAAGAATAATTAATTGTGGAACAATGGGGCTGGATTGGACTAGGTGGAGGAGGGCAGGGAATCAACAGGAAGTATCCTGCAGAGAGAGAAAGGAACTCACCCCTGTATGCAAGCACTGTACTTGGTTTTCTTCTTTGCAGCATTTTTGCAGCAATTCTTCATATTTATGCAAAATTTCCAGGTCAAGCAGCTTAGAAAGTTCAGGGTGATTTCTTGTTAATGTAAAAAGGAAGCTAAAACAGGTGAAAAATGGGATTAGAAAATATTGCAAGCAACAGGAAGGAGACAATGTATATTCTTGAAATAGATTACCACAGTAACCTATGAAAAGTCTTGCCATTTTACTGCAATAGACTTTGTAGATATCCTTCTACAAAGATAACCATTTGAAATTATAGAGTGAATAGAAAAGCGCTGTGTGTAAGCTCCCAGCATGTTTTATAGCATGATTCATTTTTTCTTCTGGTATCAGCTGGAAATAATATTTTGGATTACACAAACACATATCTTTTTCAATATCAGTTGTGAATCCATGCTTCTCTACTTCAAGTTTAGTTTGCCAGGTCATTTACTACTTAACTACTAATTCTGTTTCTTTACTTTTTGCCTCTAATTCCAGTCATGCTTTAGAGAGATTCTTTAGCTGTTTAATTTCAGTTACTTATCTCTAGATTAGCCTACTTATACCACACCACCCCCCATCTGCCTGAACATTTTACTACTTGAAGCAGAGGATAATGAAATTTTATCCATTCAATGTAAAAAAAAAACAGCTGGACTGGCAACTGAATCTTGTTTCGGTGCAAGCAATGCAATTAAATCCTATCAAACAAGGAATTTTAGGAATTGAGATAAAGTTATCTTCTTTGAAAAGAAACACCTTAGGTTTTAAAAGTAATACATAGGGGAAAACTGCCAATGCTGTTCTGAAATATATATTGCCTTATTGTATCTGAAGATAAAGTAGGGTCTTTTCCATGCATTCAGAGCACAAGAATGTTCTTGCATTGTTTTGTACAGTCTAGCCCTACTAATTAGTGTAGGATAGTGTGCAAATCTCTAAACTGTACCTTTCCTTGTGTCCATCTCCTTGTTCAGCATACAATTTACATGCTTCTGTCTCCTTTAAGATTTCTCCAGATGGTGGGGGCAGATCAGGGGACCTTGCATCATTTTCCAAACTAGCAATGCATGCTGGTCTTTCAATAAGATGAAGCATACAGCACTGATGGAGGTTAGAAGATATAGCAAGTTGATTCTTACAAACATATTCTACCAGGGCTACCTGTAAGAAAAGAGAGAGATTCAGCCAACCAACCAACCAATCAATCAGTCAGAATAGAGCTGGAAGGGACCTTGGAGGTTTTCTAGTCCAACATCACAGGTTGGTCCTTTGAAAACAGGCAGGTTGTATTTGGAGGAGTTTTGGAAGATCAAAATATATAAATTTCTTTTTGCTGACAAAAAGAAATTTGAATGTGTAATGTATCTCAGTAGCGACTTGAGCCTGCTTAACGCCCCTAGTTGGGGGGCTGCAAGGCAAAGGGATTATAAAAAAGTAGAACTGCAGTATAGCAGTCAAAAAATGCCAAGGTGCAATCAATCAGACTGGTCTGTCTGAAAAACTTTATATATATATGTTTATATATATATGTTTATATATATATGTTTTCTGAGGTTTTCGCGGGTGTTTGTATGTAGGTCTTTGGTTATTCGGGTTTTCTCCTGCGTAAAATTAGAAGTGTCTTGGCGACGTTTCGACGAAGTCACATTCGTCATCTTCAGGCTGGTGACTTCTAGAAGCACGAAGCTGTGCTTTCCTCCATATTAAATTTCATGTTATTGGATAGGACCCATTGTTCAAGTCTGTCAAGATCTTTTTGGATTCTGAGCTTGTCTTCTGGGGAATTGGCTATTCCTGCTAGCTTGGTGTCATCTGAAAATTTAATGAGATCCCTTTCTAATCCCTCATCTAAGTCATTTATGAAGATATTGAAGAGTACTGAGCTTAATACAGAACCTTGTGGTACCCACTTACTTTCCTCTATATAGACATACTACCATTAAGGACTACTCATGGAGTATGGTTTGTCAGCCAGTTACAAATCCATCTGGTGGTGATGTTGTCTAACCCACATTTTTCTAGCTTACCAAGAAGTAGGTTGAGGTCTGCTTTGTTGAATGCCTTGCTGAAGTCTAAGTATACTATGTCCACAGCATTTTGCTGGTCTACTAATTTAGTCATTTTGTCAAAGAATGAAATAAGATTGGTTTGGCATGATCTGTTTTTAATAAATCCATGCTGGCTTCTAGATATAACTTTGTTTGTTTCTAGATGTTCATAGATCTGTTTTTTGACTATTTTCCCCAGTATCTTCCCAGTTATTGTATCAGAATAAAAACATATCCCTGTGTACATATAACTCTGTGGATGTCCAGTTTCACAAATTTAGGAAATGGAAGGTAAGTTAAAAGAACATTAATTTGAAACATCAGAAGAGAAATCTGAACATTTAAAGGATGGTACTAGAAGCATGGTATTAGAAATAAAAAAAAAAAAAACCTTGTGATTGAGACAGAGTGTTTAGGAAGCCACTTCTTGATTTTATACAGCATATAGGGGATTCATTGAATGAGTGCCTTAGCCACTCAAAAGCATTTTTGAATGCTTTGAAAGCACACTAACACTTACCCCTCTGCTAACAACAACAGCTTAATAAAGTCAAACAGGTAAGCACAATGGAACCTCCTTCTGAAATTTTTATATCTTTATGTCATAGATTTGAAGCAGCAGAAATAAGATGAATACATCTTACTTGGTAAAGTAAAGCCTCCAGGGAATCCCCCTTACAGTTTTCTTCATAGATGTGCACGATACCTTTAGCAATATGGGATATAGTTTCCTGATTAGCATTGATGAACTTCTCTGTTGTCTCAATAAATTTCCTAGAAAGAAAAGCAAAGAAAAGCATTAGGATTATTTCAAAGCAGATTCTAAATAATTTCTACCATGTATTTCCACAAGAATATACAATATCATATTATTAAGAAAGGACAGTGTAGCTTTGATATCTCTGAATATTCCATGTATTTAATAATATATTTTTCATACCATTTCTGTATCACTTTATACCAGGCAACATTTGCTTCCATTTTTAAATCTGATCATCCCCATCATGACACAAGGTACTAATGTTGGTTCATTTTTAAATCCTATTTGGGGCTTTAGGTTTCTTGTTCTTTCAGTGAACAATAATTGCTCCATAATGAACAATAATTGCTCCAAAATGTGCAACATTAACTCCCATGAATCAGTTCAGTCACCAGGGAAGGGATATTGTTGGAATTTTCCTCATGGATTTTTTTTTCAAATTAGGAGAAAGGAATAACCAAGTGGGTCTGAAAAGACATGTATGAACTGTGAGCAACATCTTGCACCTCTAAATAAGCAGAATCTTCCCCCGCTGTCAACAGAAAAGTAAGCTAAAGAACATCAGTAAGAAAAATCTGAAATAAATTTTCAAGGATCATGAGAATGTTTTTTTTAAAAAAACAAAAAAGAAAAGAAATACAGAGCAAATTTTACCATAGCATCTGTATTTTACAAAAAATAAGAATCTTTCTTGAAATTTACAGACACAAGAACATTTCAAAATCAGTCTCTTTCAAGATGAGTGATCTTCTTGGTAAGTATTAGAAAATATAAGCGATAGGGGTTACTACTGGTATGGCATAGCCAGTGGTAGCATCATTTGGCTATGTTAAATAAACTATAAAAGGTTCAATTTGCTTAGCATTTGTGTGGGAGATCATCATGAAACACAAGCGATGCAAAGACACTGGGAAGTAAAAAAAAATTCTTGAAAGAAATCAGTAGCAAATTCGATGCAGAAGATCATCAGGTGAGTCTGAGCAAGTGTGCATCATCATTATGGAGTCCCTACATGACCACAAGACATCTAAGACATCTAAGATTAGCCCTCCTTGAATTCCATTAGCTCTTATCTACTGCCAATTTACCTTTACCCTCAGTGGTTCAGATTCTTGTTAGAGTTAGCATGAAATAAGCATGTATTCATTTTGGACCCAACCCTGGCTCCTGATTTTTTGTGCTTGACACTAAATGCAAAAGAAAGGTATATCCATGTACTTATCACCAAGAATTGGCTTGAGTCAAGGGAGACTTTACCATTTTGTTAAGAAATGTATATATTTATTATAATCAAACGTTGTCAAGAATTTTGCAAAACTGGTTAACAGTCTCTAATTATTCATCCTGCTGTTTGTATAACTAAGCATATTGTCTATAGGGAGTCCTTATTTAGCAACAACAATTGAGATCAACAACTAGGTTGTTAAGTGAAGTAGTTTCTCAATGAACTGCAAGTGTGCTTCTGATCTTACCTCAGCTTTTTTTTTTGTTTTACAGACCTGCAAAGGTCCTAAATTTTATCACCTTTGTAACTGCAAATTAGTCACTAAACAATGACTACCTGTAGTTATCCCCTAGTTTAATTGGCAGTTGTTTCTATTGCAGTTGTTCTAAATCAATAATATTTAAAAATGTATTGACTCAAAAGTTAACAGAATAATAATAAAATCTTTTAAAGCCCCCCAAAATTAGTTTCATCCAGTTTTGTCTTCAATATAATGTACTATATTAACTTTTTCCTAAATTTGTACTTCCATCAATATCAATATTGATATGAAGGAATGACTTTGGAAGACAGCAGCCTACACAACTATCTCAGCCCACAGAAATAAAAAGAGGAGTATGGATCATCTTCGAAGGGGAGAAAAAATAAAGGAGGGGAGAAGATCTTTTGGGTATGTAAGATTCTGTTACTTAAAGTTAGTATTAGTACTCAAGGTTTGTACTTCTTGCCTGCATTAGCTAAAAGAACTGTTTATGGCAAAGTATTAATTTATTAAACCTAAATAGGTTTTTCCCAGGTGTCAAAACACAAATTGTTAACTCAAGACCATTCATACTATTTTGATATATCTTGAGCCTCTGAATAAACAAAACCTGAAAAAAATATAAAAAGACTCCTTATTACCTTATTACCTTATTACTACCTTTGGAGATGATCCCAAAAAGTTTCTCTTATCAGTCAAATATCTCCCTTTGCTTCTATCTCCTTTTCTCTTCCAAGGTATTTTCATAGACAAGGGTAGAATAAATGTAGCTATGTATAGATATACTATCAGCTTATTTTCAACTTTCAGTACCATAGACTTTTTGAATATCCCTGATTGCCAGCCTTCCAGGTAAACCGCGTTACTACATGAGTGAATTCTCCTTTATTATAATCTACATTAACATAATTTTGCAAGTCTGAAAATAGAAACTGCCTGCCACCACTTTTAACCATCTTATCAATTAGAGTGGGTCCTTCCTAAGCTTCTTCCTCTGATTGTTAAGCCTTGGGGGTTCCCTCTTCTCTTGTCTATTTCCTAGGCGGTAATTCTTTTCCTTGTTCCCCAAGGTCATCCACACATTCCTTTACATTCATTAATCTGTTTTGGATAGAGAACACATTTTGCCTCATGAAACCTGTTAATATTTGCTCAAAACAGCCCCCAAAGTCTAAATATAGAATTTAATCATATGTGATGCATACTCCTAGAAATTCATTCCCTACCCTATCCCAAATGAACCAGACTTACAATGTATATAAAGTATCCTTTCCATATTTCTCCAGATTGAAACAAGTGTTTTTATATTCATCAAGTATTTTCCAGAATTTCTTTTCAAATTCTATTGCCTGCTATAAACAAAAAGAATAAGAAGAAAACTTTTTTGATTGATTGCAAATATGATAGATAAATATACTGGTAAAGAGAAATAAGGAAATAATAATAATAATAATAATAATAATAATAATAATAATAATAATAATAGTAGTAGTAGTAGTAGTAGTACTACTAGTAGTAGTAGTAGTAATAATAATAATAATGACTGTTAAAAGAAAACAAAGATAGTATTAATAGTAATAGGTGCTCTAGATGCAATAAAAAGCATCTGGAGCACTACTTGACAAAATCAGCATCACTGAATTGCAAAAGGCACCTTTAGTGGGAAGAGCTTACATCCTGCAATGATACCTTTAAACCCTCAAGCAACGTCTACCTATCCAAGATCCTTGGAAAGGACTCCATAGGTGGAAAAAACTGCCAAACCCAGTTTAAACATCTGGCTGATTGTGCGATGACCCATAAATAAAAATAATATGAAGAAATACAGCAAAGATACAGGATGGATAAAGGAGGTGGATAAGAATAAAAGTAAAGCTGAAATAAATTAAATTGTAATAACAACGGAAATGGTGGAGAAAATGAACAAGAATTTGTTAGCACTAGGCAAAGATGAACTGGATTTTTTGGGGGTTGAAATATCTGACTAGTCTATACCCGGCAATGTGAAGCAGTTTAATAACATTCTACAAGCAAATGAAATTAAAGATCCACCTAACAATGAAAGATCCAGCAAAAGGCAACAGGAGTCCAATTACCTGCTTATCAAGAATCTTCAGATTTCTAACTGGTGTGATAGCTGATGGAATCTAGCAGGATCTAGTTGAAAACAAGTTCTTTTCATCCGAATAGAAGGGAAAGCACCCAATAGTAGAGGAATAAATGATTAACTTTTAATTGACAATCTGATTTTGGAAAACTGCAAGAGAAGGAAGACCAATACCATCTGAAATAGAATCCTTGTTTATATATATAGCCAAGATATTGCAATGGAGTTTGGACTGGATAAATGTGCCACTCTAACCATAATCAGGGAAAAAATATGAAAAATGAAGGAATCAAGATACCCTTTGAAGATAACATCAAGAATCTGGATGAAGACAATCATTACAAATACCTGGGCATCCTTCAAACCTGACAACATCAACCACACTAAAGTCAAGAAGATTAGAAAGGAATACATCATAAGAGTGAAAAAAAATTTAAAGTCCAAAGTACATGGATGAGGAAATATCATCCAGGCAATTAAGATAAGGGCAAGTCCAGTCATTAGATGCACAGCTGAAATAGTGGATTGGAGTTAGAGTTAAGGTTAGGGTTAGAACTAAAGACTCTGGATTGGAAGACCAGAAAAATAATGACAATGAATTATTCCCTTCATCTTATTATTATTATTATTATATTTAAATTTATATGCCGCCCTTCTCCCCATGGGACTCAGGGCGGCTCACAGCATAATAAAACATTGTACAAAAAAATTTTTCCCCTGCTAAAAACCAATTAAAATCCAAATATTGGTAGCTGTGGCTCTTTAAAATTGTTTAAAAATTGTCCCTATTTAAAACTCACCTTAGGTCAGGC